GTTCGTATGTCAAGGCGTTGTTTGTAAGTACAGTGGTGCCGCGCTTAGCGATTGCTCTGTTGAGCGATGAAATCGCTTAGCGATGGGGGTTTGGCCATCACCAGAGCAATCGCTTAGCGATGGCCCTTATGGGGAAAAATCGCTTTGCGATGATCGTGGGAAGCGATCATGGCAAAGGGACCCTTTTGGCACAGCTGATTGGCGGTTCCAAAATGGCCGCCGGAAAAACAAAATGGCCGCCCGCTGTTTTGCCTTCCTTTAGAGGCACTGAAAATGGCTGCTCCATGGAGGATCTTTGTTTTTAAGCCCATAGGAACGCATTAAACACGTTTTAATGTGTTTCTATGGGCTTTTTAAAATCGCTTAGCAACATTTTTCCTGGAACAGATTAACGTCGCTAAGCGAGGCACCACTGTAGAGGCATTAGTCCCATAGGAACTAATGCAAAGCCGGTTTATCCGTACTCTACCACTAGGGGGAGATTTTGTAAAAAAAAAATTTCTTCTTTTGACCTAAGATGAACTCAGGTTTAAAAAAAAGGGGTAGGAAAGGTTCTTTTTCTTTGTTCGTAAGTTGAGGCTCCGTTCACGAGTCGAAGCAGCATTTTGTGAATGGAGCCGTTTGTAACTCAAAACGCTTACAAGTGGAGACGTTCATAAGTTGAGATAGCACTCTATTTATTTGTTTAGAACATGTTTATACTAGTTTTTATATCAAATCTCGTGTCCTTACATTACATAGCAAAAAAAAGTACCAAACCACAGATGTCAAGAAACCAACAAATTGATCCTTCAAACAAACTAAAATGTATTTGATGCTCAGTCCTATCTGTACTTTCTTGAAAGTCCCACCAAATTCATTTGGGTTTATTTTTGAATAAGCATTCAGTATATATGCTGTGTGGAGAGGGGATGATGTAACTACTGCTGAGATCTTGGAGAAGACACTTTTTTGGATTACATTTTATGAAATTCTTTTGCCACTTTGCCCAGTGATCCAAAAAAAAAGAGTAATATTTCTTTACTGTGACAGATACATGTGTAAATGATGTGGCAGATGTTTTTCCAGAACCATTTACAGAGAAATAGGCACCCCTTCAGATATACCTGTGAAAATTCTCAGTCATCTCAGTGAAGTTATCTGGAAGTCATGGCCACTGGACTTCTTTCTTAATAGGTTGATCCTTTCATCCATTCCCAGAAAGATCAGGACCACACATACCAGAAAAAAACACTGTTAACCACTGCTAATGACCCATGACAATGGGTGGAGAAGGACTGCAGATGTGGGATTTTCACTCACTAACCCCCCCATCCTTTGTCCATCTAAGGAGCATATTCAGACCAGGGGGAAGTGAAACTAATGGGGAGGATATATCAGGGATCTCCTACCAACTCTTCTCAGATTGAAGAAGCTACTTGGATGAGTAGTGAAATGTTTCAACCTAATAGGTTGCCATGACTCAACTTCCAGAGGATCCCCTCAGATAATTTATTTGGTGTTTGTTTCAATATCCTTTGGCCTTTTCTTTCAGAATCTTCAAAATGGTAAAAAAAACTTTTGCAAATATACAGATTTATATCAATGTGATCTGTTAAACTGTTGTAATATTAATGTATTTATTTACTTTAATAGTCTATTGTGCCTGTATACTACCTGAACAATCAGGGGTATCATACCTCTGAATAACCATTTTGGGAGCATGCTTGTGACATCTGTTTGCCATCATATGCAAAAGAATGCTGGTCTTTTTTCTGATCTAGCACGGCTCTTTTCTTCTTACCCTGCTTTCTCTATCAGAGTTGGACCCAGGTAGCTTGGGAAAATAAAACAAGTGGAGATGGTCAGATTCCAAAACTAATACAAAAATGCAGTTCCCAAATGTAAAGGTGCAGCAGAAGTGGTTGGAGGTAGCTCTAACGTTCTGCATGTGTGGAGTTGTATGCCAAATAGTAGCTAGTGGGTAAATGTAACAGGTGTGAAAGAAGAATGTGCTTTTGAGAATATGGTCAGTTCAGGAATTTATGATTAATATAAAAAGCACCACACATATTTGTGATTGTGTCTCAGTTGTTTTTCTAGCAGGGGCTGGGTTTTTGTGTCCCCCCCCCAAAAAAATTGCTGTTAGACAATAGGAGTCAGAAACCATTGCTGACCTAGAGAATATCACACCAAGATTTGTCTGTAGTATTCTTCCTTTCCATCCCATTATTGGGTAGATTGGAGGGGACCAGTGAAAAGTCTAGCTGTTGTGGCTTGAACCCACCTCTCTCTCTCTCTCTCTCTCACACACACACACACACACACACACACACACACACACACAAACACGCACACACACACACACACACACACACACACACCTGCCTGCCTGCCTGCCTGCACATTTAAGCTTTATTTGAAATGTAGCATACAGAAGTACATATTAACCCTTAGAGTGGAAATCAACATTGTTGGAATTAATTTTTGCATATTTAATTGGTGTTCCCTTCGTAGAGATGGGGGTCTTGGTTGCAGAACTCACAGGGAGTGGGAAGCATAGATAGATAGAATATGGATTTCCTTGTGAAAAATATTCACAGTGGGTAGTGAGGGGCACACATAGCCACAGATCTATTTCTGGGATTTGCCACCTCTCAGTTGCAGCTGCTTGGTGAATTTAGGAATATGCAGGATGTCTGATGGAGTGGAGATGTTCCACCTGTAGTAGCACGTGGCAGCTGTTACGGAGGGATAGGTTAATTTTGGCACTGAAAATTCCCAAAGATTCTATTTTAGGAAGTAGGAATTCAGAAGAGCAAAATCAAGAGGAGATGTGCGGACTTAGTGCTCCTACATTTGAATGTTAGTTAAAATCCTTTGTCGCTGTTATTTCTTTCTATTTTTATTTTTTCTGAGCGTCAGTCTTCTGTAACCATTAAAAGACTTGTGTATTTTATGGATAATCCCATGGCTCTTTATAGAGATTCTCTCTTTGTTATTGACCCCCTGAGATTCAAGCAGACGCTCGCTGAGTGTAATTTTGTTCACCCCATCTCTCCGATGGATGCCATTTTCAGAATACTCTGGGGAGCCTGGCAGGAGACAGCCTGAGAGCCTGATGGCTTGAAGCATTAAGAGGCTGGGTTTGATGTCTTGGGTTTTCCTACAGGATATGGTGAAAGCCAAGACATCAGGGGACTGGGGTCATCATGGCAAGGTGCAGCTGAAGGTTGCTGTTATTCTTTGTGCTATGGAGAAATTGTGCAGTAATCCACGTTCGGTATAACAGAAGTGTTGGGTTCCCATCTCTGTGCTACAGATTAAGTACAGTGGTACCTCGCTTGACGAGGATAATCTATTCCAGCAAAATCGCTGTAGAGCGAAATCATCGTCAAGCGAAAGTAAAAATCCCATTGAAATACATTGAACCCGGTTCAGTGCGTTCCAATGGGCAAAATACCTCAGCGTCCAGTGAAGATCCTCCATAGGGCGGCCATTTTCCGGTGCCTGTAAAGCGAGGAATCCATCCTAAAACACAGCGGGGAGCTGTTTTACACAGTGGGTGGCCATTTTGAAAGCCCGACGATCAGCTGTTTTGATCATCATTAAGCAAGAAATCGGTTCCCGAAGCAGGGAACCGATCATTGTGAAGCGATTTTTCCCTATTAAAACATTGTTTTGCGATCGCAAAAGCGATCTCCTCATCTAACGAGGCATGCGTCAAGCGGGGCACCACTGTATAACATGTTGTTTGGCCCCTGACATGTGCTTACAGACACTGGAGGCACCAAACTGAGGTGTTTTGAGGGTGCAGGAGGGGAGGAACCTGACCTCTCTGTCCTGTCCTGTCCCCCTCCCCCACCATTACACACTTCCTTTTAACCGTGAGGGCTTCCACCCACGGAGTGGAATGATATTTGCTGACGTGGGAAGCTTTCCTTCTGACGAGTGCAAGGCTGAGCTACTCATGGTCTGTCAACACATCCCAGATGTGAAAGAAACCTGGGCTTTTTATCCCATACCTGTGAGCAACCTGTAATACACTTCCCCCACCCACCCCCAGTTGTCACCTTCTGTATAACAGGCAAGAGGAAGGAAATAGAGGAGAGAGAAAAATAGTTTTTGCTCCCCTCTTTCTTGGAAAAGCTATTTTCCTGTACCATAATTCACACGATCCTTCAGCCAGCATGGGTACTGGCTGGCTGGGAGATGTTGGCAGGGGAACTCATGCTCACTACTGTACGAATTATGGGAACTGTAGTCCAGAAAAGTAATTTTTCTAATTTCCATTAATTCTCTGTCTCATCTCTCAATTCCTTGGTCTCTGTTTTTTACTACAAGAAAACAAAGAACACAGGATTTAGTTTCTTGTAACCATTATGAATAGTATAGGGTTGTGGTTGTTGTTTTTGGTGAGGGGGCACCAGTGTTGGAGGACCACTCTAGTACATTCTTGTGTGCTTACCCAAAGGTAAGTCCTGTTTTGTTCACTGGGATGTACCTGGAAGTAAGTGTGGATAGCAGCTTTTTCTCAGTCTGATGCCTTCCAAATGGTTTGACTGGTAACTTCCATCCAGCTCTGTCAGCATGACTAATGGTTAGGAGTAATGGGAATTGTGAGAAGCACCAGTTTGGGGAAGACCAGACTAGCAAAAAGCTAATTAGCATGTTTTAGTGGGATTGTAAGATATCAGATTTTACTGCCTATATTAAACCAATATAAACAGGTCCTAATATGGATAAATTAAGTTCTGTTTATAATTCAGCACATACTACCAGACATGTAAAAAGCTGTGGTGCATGAGACCAGACAACAGAAATTCACAGATGCTGAGGTGGTTCCACTTTCCCTGTAGTCCTAAAATGGCTGTTCATAGCCTACAAAAGTTGTAGTTTATATATCCCTGTTTCAGGTTATGTGCCTCTAGATCAATCCTTTTTTGTGGACACTCTACTTTTAAGATAAAATGGGCCTTAAATCTAATCTTAATACTGATGTCTTTCCTCCTTTATTTTAGGAGCCGGAAAATTCAAATAAGAAACATCCCCCCTCAGCTACGATGGGAGGTAAGTCACAGCGCTAAAAAGCATGTATCCATCTGAATCAGAAAGAAATGGGTAATACATGGGAAATTAAGCAAGCTCCGCGATACTTTTGATATGTTGCTTTGGCTAAAACCAGAACTTGTAACATGAAGTCTAAAAATGTGTTAGTGAATTTAAAATTAGTGAGATTTTAAAACAGATTTTAACTTTTTGCTACTAATGTCTAAAACTAAGTCTGACTCATTAAAATAAATATATTAATAAAGTTCCATTGAATAACATGTGTGTTCTGGAAAGGACACACCAAGTAACTTTATTAATATATTAATTTTAATACTGCTATGTTAATTGCTAATAACTATATATATTGCTATAATTGCTAGTAAATTATAGCAAAATACTCTTTGGAGCCTTTAAACACAAAGAAACTGTAAACCTGAACATCGTTTTGTTTTGATGCTATGAAGTGGGCACTGGAATTTGTAATAGAAGCCACTGTGCTGGATATCAGCTCACAAAAACCGACACCCCCCCCTTCCAGGATCTGGCCCTGGCTTTTGGAGCCATCTCTAAGCAAAGGGGAGGGGAGGAATGGGATTTCTCCTCCCAACATGGAATTCCCCCTTCACAAAGACAGGCATTTTTCTTTTCAACTTTTCAGGCACATTTGTAGGCACCAGTGGGATAGTTAGGTCAACTATCCCTTCAGTGATAGACTTGAGTCTTCTTTTTCAGTGCATAGAGACCTCTAGGGGTGGTGGCACATGTATCATCCCAGCTTTATCTTGCACAGAGACTGCTGCATTGTGGATTTGCTCCAAATAATATATTTTTTCAAAGATTTTCCTTGGGAGATTGAGATTTGTTAATCTTGTTAAATACTCATGTTGAACTCATATGGGTGCAGTAAGAATTGTTATGCTGTCAGTGAATGAGTGAATGTGTAATAAAGTTTTGACCCAATTTGTATTTTTAATCAAAGCTCCTTGCACTGATGTGCTTAAGGAGTATAACTGGTAGCGATCAGTTATTTCTTGATACAGAAATGGTTTCTAGCTTTGGTTATTTTTATCATCTTGAAGTAGAACTCCATGGAAATACTGTTGACTCTTGGCAATCCTAATGAAGACTTTTGTGTCTTATAGTCCAAATACATTTATATAGCTACTGTTGAACTAATTAGCATAAATTGAGTTCTGAAAGGGAAATAGATTGTTTTTCTTTTGGGCAGAGAAAGAAGATACATCTACTCTAATCTAGTCTTATTTTAAAACATTATATTTAGAAAGTCTCTTATTGGTATTGGCCCAGAAAAACCAACGCATTTACTGCTAATGTGCTAATTCTAACATATTATTTCCAAGCTCCAATAATAGCATGAGGAAACCCCCAGTCCTCTGTTTCCCTTCTTTTGCTGAAACAGAGGAGCTGTGATTTCAGTCACATTCTCAGCTATTACTACATATGTTTCCAAGGAAATGCTGCCTGCTAATATGTTCATGTAACCACTAAATTGTGTTTATTTACAAGGAGTAGGAGTAGGCAATCTATTCCCATCTGTATGTTTTGGATAAAAATAAAGGTCACATTAACCCCACTCAGCATGGTGAATGACCATAGACTATGGGATTTGTAGTGCAGAACATCAGAAGGACACTGTATTTCCTATTCCGTGTGTTCTGTGTGTGTTATGTGCCGTCAAATTAAAACTGACTTACAGCAACCCTAGTAGGGCTTTCAAGGTAAGTGAGTTAGTTAAAGAGTAATGTTAATCAGTTCCACTCCCTGCTGTTCTCTAGAGTCCTAGTCCATCAGTCTGCTCACCACACCACACTGGGAACCACCCTATTTCATGTAGGGTTGTTTTTCCCGCCCCACACCCAGTATTTCTGTATTCCATTTTGTTCCCTCCCTGATATTGCCCCCAATCCACCCACTCCCATGAAGATAGATAGCTAACAATCTTAAATTTATCTGGCCAAAAATAGATGAAAAATAAAAAATTACTCCTTTTCATGTCTGATTAGGTATTGGACGGTTTGCTAGCCCAGTATGGTACTGTGGAAAACTGTGAACAAGGTAAGATTCAATATGGGAAGTGCAATAGAATACGTATGGAGGGACCAAGGAATGAAAGGTGAAAATCTGAACACAGATGTGAGGATGGACAAATCAGGCTGCTGTCCTGTCCTTCAACCTTCTCCAGTGTGGTACCCTCCAGGACAGTGGTTCCAGCCTTGAGTGCCCAGATGTTCTTGGATGACAACTCCCAGATATCCTGGCCAGCACAGCTAGTGGTGAAGGCTTCTCAAGAGTTTTAGTCCAAGAACACCTGGAGACCAAGGCTGGAACCACTGCTCTAGATATTGTAGACTGTAACTTTGATTATCCTCAAAGGCATTGCAAATGATCAGGAATGATGAGAGTTATAGGCACAGTGATCTAGGGTTCAACACTTCAGGAATGTTGTTGCTACCTGGAAATAAGTGGTACTGAAGTGAACGTTGTTTCAGATTATAGAATGGTGCTGTCCAACTATTTGTAGTCTGTGTCATTTCTTACGTATTTGCTTATACATGTGAACCGGTTTCCTCAGTACAGTGGTGCCTCGCATAGCGAGGTTAATCCGTTCCGGATTAACCTTCGCTATGCTGAAGCATCGTTGAACGGATCAAAAACACCCATTGGAACGCATTAAACATCGTTTAATGCGTTCCAAATGGGCCAAATACCCACCGTTCAGCGAAGCTTCGTAATGGCCGGCAGCCATTTTTGTGCCCTCGCCTCCCTTAACGAGGGCGCGAAAACGCTGCGCGCGTCCATTTTGGGCCATTTTCGGGCTTCTGGCGGCCATTTTGGCCGCCGAACAGCTGATGGTCGGGCTTCGTTTTGCGAAGATCGGTAAGCGAAACGCTTACCGGTCTTCGCAAAGCGAATTTAGCCCTATTTTAAAAACGTTAAGCGATCGCATTAGTGATCCAAAAAAACGGATCGCTATGCGATTTCATCGTTATGCGGTGCGCTCGTTAAGTGAGGCACCACTGTAATTTAATATCCCTCCAGAAGGTCTTCATGAAAGTACCTATTTCTAAACACATTTTCCCCTCAAAATCCATCTCTCTAAATCAAATGAAAGACAATGAACCTGTAAGTAAATGTGATGAATAGTTTTAGATAATACCTTTGTCCTGACTGGAACTTGGAAAAGTTACTTTTCAGGATTGCAACCCACAGCCAGAGGCCTGTGGGATTCTGGACATTTTAGGTCCAAGAAAGTAACTATTCTAAAGAAGTTCCAATCTATAGATTAGCCTGTGTTTTGGATTATGCAGAGATCCAATTTGTTAAGCCTTCTTACATTGGATCCTAGCAGAGACTTGGCCAGTTGCTAAATTCTTCCCCGCCTATTATTGCATTTCCATGGGGAAGGCAACAAGGAAGACTAAGCTCTCAGTTCAGTTGCACAGTATGGCAAGATGGTCCTTTACCCTTCCAGTCCATGGTTCCCCTGTCCCCAAGGAGTGAGAGGAGCACCTACGATCCAATCTTGTTACAACTGGAAATGAAAATTCTCTTATCTTCTAGTTTGCATAGTGGTGCTCTGCAAGTGCTCTGGATCACAACTTCCATATGCCCTGATAGCATGGCCAATAAGATTTATGGGAGTGTAATCCAAATCGTCTGAAGGGGATTGGGTTTGTGCCTCTTCTCTAGCTTTTGCTCTTTCTTATGGGCTTGTTTTAAGTTACTCATATTGGACTACTTAGCTAATAATAATGATGGTGATGCTATTATTATTACCATCATTATTATTAGCTAAGTAGTCCAATTATTATTAGCTAAGTAGATGGTGGTGGTGATGGGATCAATTTTTTTTGGATTACAGCTTCCAGAATATCCCAGTCAGCATGGGCAGTTTAGTTCAAAGCAATAACATTTTCTGTTTCTGAGAATAATGGTGATGACACTTGGTTACAAAACCTGTTTTGACAAACCCAGTTACTTGGCTAACCCAAGTTTTTTCCCCCTCTTCTTTTTAATGCAAGTAAATACGGACAGTGAGACAGCGGTTGTCAATGTCACCTACTCCAACCGGGAACAGACTAGACAGTAAGTTAGAAGTTTGGCTTTCTTTATATTTAGAGTTGTGCTCATAGCAACGAGTTCTGTGTTTGACATGGGTATATTTGCATGAACTGCTCCTGTGCAGCTCTGTAGTTTATTTCTTCTACAAAGTCTGTAGTTTATTTATTATTGTTGTTTTTTAAAAAAATAATATGTATCCCCCTTTCAAGCAAAGGGAAAGTCTCTGGCTGCCTGGTACAGAGAAAAAGATGTTGAATTAGATGGCCTTCAGTCTGATGTAGTAGAATGCAGCTAAAATTCTGATTAAAGCTTGGAAAAAATTACTTTTTGGGACTACAGGATCCCAAAATCCTCAGTGACTGTAATTTCTGTGGAATTTGAAGCACTGTAGCCCAAAGATAGGGACTAGTTTTTTTTCTTTAAACGCCTCATTTCTTTTTCTGTAAACAGTGCCATGATATCCTTGACCAAAAAGCCAGAAGCAGCAAAGCAACCCCAAAACATCTTTGAACCTCCACCATGTTTGACTGTAGAGACTGTGTTCTTTTCTTTGAATGCCTCATTTCTTTTTCTGTAAACAGTGCCATGATGTCCTTGACCAAAAAACTCTACTTTTGTCTCATCTGTCCACAGTATGTTCTCCCAGAAGGATTGTAGTTTTGTCACATAAGTTTTGGCATACTCCAGTCTTGCTTTTTTATGCCTTTGTGTCAGCAGTGGGGTCCTCCTGGGTCTCCTACCATGGCATCTCTTTTCATTCAGATGGTGACGGATAGTGCGAACTAACACTGTTTTACCCTGTATTTGCAAATCATCTTGAATTTGTTGGGAAGTTAATCTGGGTTCTGTATCCACCATTCGAACAATCCTTCGTTGTAATTTTTCAGTAATTTTGCTCTTCCGTCCACGTCCAGGGAGGCTAGCTACAGTGCCATGGGCTGTAAACCTCTTGATGATATTACACACAGCGGACACAAGAACATTAAGATCTCTGGAGATGGACTTGTAGCCTTGAGATTGTCAGTGTTTTTCCACAATTTGTTCTCTCACATCCAAAGACAACTCTTTACCTTCATTCTTTTCTCCATGCTCAGTGTTACACACAACACAAAGGTTGAGTCACCTTTTCTCCATCTTAACTGGTTGCAAGTGTGATTACTCTATTGCCCACCCCTCTTACTTGCAACATGTGTGTCTAAATACAAATTAAAGGAGCATCACATGCTTGAAAAGCAATTACGTATTACCAAAGGAATGAACATATATGAGTGCCAAAACGTTTGCAACTGCAACAATTTTCTGAGAGAAGGGTTGCATTTTCTGACAGAATTGCAAGGCTGCCAATATTTTTGGCCATGGCTGTATGTATGTTTAGAATTATAATTGAATAATGCTTGTGCAATTAATCAGGTGACAGACCTAGTTTCAGGAATTGATCCCCAGTGAATCTAGATCTATAACGAGCTTTCAGATTGCCATCTAAAAATAACAGGAAGTATTTGTTCCTGGAACTCCCATCCCCTTCCCGTAGTGTGTTAATGTAAGTAGTGGATGTTCCTTCACTTCCAGTGCAAGAATTCAAATATCAGATTTAAAGCTAGCAGCGTCCCTGCCTTGGGATGCTGGCATGCCTCTCAGGTTGTCCCCTCATACAGGCTTGTTAATGCTGATACCCCCATCTATAGGTGGCTTCATGGAACTGCAGGCTGGTGTTGAAATTTTATTTTGGCCATTGTTTCTACACTCACATCAGATAGGAAACATTACTTTCCAGGACTACAACTCCTAAAATAGCTACAAGTCTCCAAAGTAACTGTTTCCATCTCTGCTTCACTTTATAATTCCAGGTGTCTGATCAATTTGGGTGAATGATCCATAATGTCTCAAATCTTGCACATTCACAATATCCATTCCTTGGTACACATGGGCCAGAATCCTGTTGAGGGTGTAAAATGTAATCACTCACATTCCTATTCATAGAGCTAAAATATCCCTCCCAATCTTCTGATGAAATATTTCTGATAATATTTTTTTTAAAGAAAACATAGATGCAAAGCTTAAAAAGCACTATTTGTGAAGTGGTCTTAACATTTCTACTACTTAGAGGTCTCAATAAAAATGCTTAGCTGATCATTTTTAATCTGTAGTACAGGAAAAGGGAAAACCTTCCATATATTACACATTCTTTCTTCCCTGATGGTAGTAAATGGGGAGGAAAGAAGAGACTATAGTTACATTGGAAACAAAGCATTGTAGCAGTGGGATGAAGGCGGATGATTCTTGGTTGCCAATTTAGAAATGGGAGAAGTTCATGATGAAGCCACTGGCATTTACAACTGCCCTAGGCAAAGATATGTGACCAGTTTTTACATTTTAGGCTGGAGTTGGACAAAGTATCATCCTCCAGATATTTGTCTTACATGGCTGTTCCCTATTTTATTTTTCATAGGTGACACTGTTAGTGAAGTCTCTGATGCAAATAGGCAGAGCTGGTGTGGTAGTGCAGAATGTTTCATTGTTGAGAATTAAATAGCTTATATATATAGCTTAAATAGTTATTGTCTGTAGGGCTAGGTGCAGGCAAGCACTTGGAGCCAATTTTGTCCCCTTCCTGTGGGACTGCCGTAATCTGCATCTTCTCCCCAGAATATACCATATTTTTCGCACCATAAGACACACTTTTTTCCCACAAAACGGGGGGTGGAAAGTCTGTGCGTCTTATGGAGCGAAGAAAACAGATTATATTTTCCTGCTTGCTTCTCCTAAAAATTGGTGCGTCTTATGGAAAGGTGCGTCTTATGGAGCGAAAAATACGGTATCTTTGCTCCCCCCCCCCCCCCATGCACAATGTAACCTTGTCAGACATCTTGGGGGCTAGTAGCAATGTATTGATTTTAATTTAAGTAATATTGGATGCGTGTTGTATCCCTGCTAATGCTCAGGCAATATAATTAATTGTTCTATTATTATTACTTTGGTCTGTTGGAGTTCATATTGTTAAAATGTCTTTGGCAATCTAGTATTGGAATGGAAATAGTGACAGCAACAAAAATTACTTCAGGATTTGCAAATGAGAATTAATTAAAAAGCTGATAAGTCATCATGATTATTCCCTTACTCTTGTGAAATATGATAACTTGACTTAAGTTCTTAATCTTGCAAATGAAATACCAGTTAATTATTTCAACTTAGTAACTTGGAGTTTGACCAGCTGCAAGCTTTCTCTTTTCCTAATGTGTTGTTGTCAAGCACACTGTAATAAAGAATTACCTGTTCAGCCTCAGTACTATGTAGAACTTGTCAAGAATATTAACGTTACATTTTTTATACTTTTGCATTAAATTTTAATATTTAAAAAATTAGGTTTTAGAAGTAACTTTTTAACAGTTTGTTTGTCCTCCTGCCCAATTCGCAAGTAATATTTCTTCTTCGTGGTCTCTGTGAATGCACAATGTAGGGTTTAATCTGCACTTGCACAAAGGTTTCTGGAATATTCTAGAGCTTCAACATGTGATCACCAGGACCGCACCCCTAATATATGTGGTCCGCCTATCCTGGTGATTGCCTCAGTTCCTTTTTGTTGCCGCTGAGGTTTCATCTTTCATATGAGCTCTCCATTCGCCAACCCTAAAAATAAAAAATACAGAGGGAAATAGTAAGAGACTTTTTGAGTTGTTTCTCCCTCTTTTGACCGCCCCCCCTTTCCCCTTCTTCCTTCTCCCAGCCATTTGTGGCCCCTGTAGCACCGTTTAAACAGTACGCCTCATGCTCCAGCAAGATCCCCCTCTCAGACGGACACGATCTCTGTCTTTTTTTCCTCGGGGAATCTCATCAGCCAGTTTCCTGCCAATTTTGGAAGAAATTTACCAAATAGGCTCTTAAGCTTAGAGAACAATGCTTTAAATCCTTTCTTTGGGAACGTTCTTTGTGTCCACCTCAAACAACCATGGAAGCTTCCCAAATTTGTCACTCTCATAAGGGATCCCCAGAGGCGCCCACCACTTCGCCAACTTCCAAGCTAACAACAGCCAAATCCAAGACCAAATCCTCCTCTAAATCTAAATCCTTGACATTGACGACTGTCGATACCGACACTAGACCTTTCCTCTTTTACCTACCTTCTTTCCGTCACGAACAAATGACTTTGAACCCTCCTTCCATATGTTGGATGTCAGATGAGCCCTCACGTTTTACGTTTCACGGACTTCTTCCTTCCACAAGTCCAAAAGGCTCGTTGTTTTGCCACACTTGCCTCGCAGAGGCTCTCACATCTCTTCTCAAACCATCTCTCGATGGATTGTGACAACTATAAAATTGGCATACCAGTTCACCACAAAGCCTCTGCCTGTTGACATTAAGGCTCACTCCACGAGGGCTGTTGCTACCTCTACAGCTTTCCTCCAAGGAGTACCTCTCCCAAACATCTGCAAGGCTGCTACCTGGGTGTGATCGGGTTCATTAAAGATCTGAAGCAGTTCCTCCTTTTTGGTGGGAAAAGACGACTGAGTCTCTTTTGAAATGTTAACAGATTTATTTAATTTAACATTAAGTGAGTCTACAACAACTTATAGTGGTTCAAAACCACTAAGATCTGGTAACTGTCCAAATTGTGAAGAAGATAATTCTGTCTGGAAATTGAGAAGATTCATTGAAGGGCTGGTCCAAGACATTCCCGATCAGTGGGCTTCCTCAGCGGAGCACTCCGGACCGCACATATTGTCCCACAAGAAGGGTGTCTAGCCCAATCCCTCTTCGGCAGTGGATGGTTGAAGGAAGGGTCTGGCCGAATCAGCTTCCTCAAGTGACCTTGTCCCCGCAGAAAGACCATGATGGTACATTCTTGAGCTTGTGCTGATGTCCCCTTTTCTTTAGATTTGTCTGGGTCAGGTAGCAACCCTCCTACCTTCAAATTAGGGAAGTCCTCTAACAACCCACACATTCTATCATATTCATACTCTCTTTTTTTCTCCCTCTTTTTCCTCTCCTTCCTTCTTTCTCCCTCTCCTTGGTACTCTGAACTGTCTCCTCCTACTTTGTTCCCATATATCCTCCTCCCACACAGGCAAAGCTAATTCCTCCTCCCCTTTTCCCTCTCTCTCCTCCACTAGACAGATTTCAATCTTCTCCTCTTTCCCCTTTGATTCCCTTCTTTTCCCTTCTTCCATACTGTTCACTTCTCTCCATTGTGTGTGTGTGTGTGTGTGTGTGTGCGCGCATGCCTACTTTCTATCCTTATTTTTAAAGCTAAGCCCTTGTTGGGGTCAACGTACCTTCTAACTTTCAGCTCTGCTGGATGGGGCTCCACCTTTCTCGCAACTGCATGCGCGACTCTACCCCCACCCCACCCCATGCACAGAGTTCTGTTGTAACCAGAACCTAATGTGATCACTGTGCGGAGGAGGAAGATGGCTACACGAAGGGAAGCAGAGGCACGCACATTTGCACCCAGCTTAAAGGGAACCTTGGGTGGGGTTTCTTCCCTAAATATAATTCTTTTCTATCTTTGAAAATGTTGGGGGTTGCCCATGCATACTATACCTCCCTAATGTATATGAGTAGCACCATTTTGTTTTGATAAGCAATGATATTTTAAGCTTGCCTGTTGGAAATGAGGGAATTCTATTTGAATCTTCTCCTCTCTTCTTTTCCTCAGAGCCATCATGAAACTCAATGGCCACCAATTGGAGAACCATGCACTCAAGGTCTCCTACATCCCTGATGAGCAAACTGCGCAGGGTGCCGAGAATGGCCGTCGAGGGGGCTTTGGAACACGGGGTGCCCCAAGGCAAGGTTCTCCCGTGGCTTCTGGAGCCCCTGTGAAACAACAACCAGTAGACATCCCCCTCCGGCTTCTTGTTCCCACACAGTATGTGGGAGCCATTATTGGTAAAGAAGGCGCCACCATCCGTAACATTACAAAGCAGACACAGTCCAAGTAAGTCCCTGCTTCCTTAGCCGTGATAACTCAGGCCACTTTCCCCCCCTACCCTTTCACCTGGGGCCAGTCCTCTCTTTTGGCAGAGTAAGGGAACTGTCACATTTCCTAGATTCTGGATGTCATAAAAGGACTGTGAATGTTTAGTTATGTAACCACATTATGATTGTACTTATACTGTGGAAGATGGGGAGAGGGACTTTTGGAATTTTTCTGTCACTTTTAGTAGCACAACCTGATTAGATTTGGGTAACCCTAATGCAAAGACCATCATTCTCTTAAGGAGCAGAAGAGTCAAATTTTGACACACACACCCAAAATGGGGGGTGGCTAGTTTGTGTTGGGAGCCTAACAGCACACATGTGTTATTGGGGGTCACATGCAGCCTACACTTTGTTCGCCCCTGGACTAAAAAGAAGATGATGCAGCTTCAGAGGACAAAAACAGCCTGTGTTATGGGTCCAGAAGGACTTGGTGCTGCAGATTTTAGATGCCATTTAGGACTACAGAATGAGAGTGTTATATATTTACAGATGTGCATATATTACATTTTGTGCCCCTCAAAATTGGTGGGAAAAACTGAGGAGTGGAATTTAGTAAATTATGGACTAAAAAGAAGATGATGCAGCTTCAGAGGACAAAAACAGCCTGTGTTATGGGTCCAGAAGGACTTGGTGCTGCAGATTTTAGATGCCATTTAGGACTACAGAATGAGAGTGTTATATATTTACAGATGTGCATATATTACATTTTGTGCCCCTCAAAATTGGTGGGAAAAACTGAGGAGTGGAATTTAGTAAATTATTATTGTAAGAATATTTAAAATATTAAAATCATGAAGAAGCAGCCACAAAAAGAATATCTAAGTAACTTCTGGATTAGAAATCTGTTGTTTTACTATTATTTTGCCCTTTCTCTAAGGAACTTGGAGTAGCTTTCCCTCAGTTAGTTATTGTAAGGTCATAAAATATTAAAATCATGAAGCAGTAGCCACAAAAATAATATCTAAGTAACTTCTGCATTAGAAATCTGTTATTTTACTGTTATTTTGCCCTTTCTCTGAGGAACTTGGAGTAGCTTTCCCTCAGTTAGTTCTCACAACAAAACCTTGAAGTAGGTTACACTTATGACTGGCCCGAGAATACCCAGTGGGCTTAATGATGAAACAGGGACTGGGAATTAGGTGTTTCCAGTCTAGCCCAGATCTAACCACTGCACTATATAGTTCTCGTTTTACTGTGTATGACTCCTGTGGGAAGGTATGGGAACTTCCCAATGTTTAGCATTGTTTTTATTGTAAATATTGGCTAGAATCCCATTACTAAGTTTTGCAAACAGCACAAATTGTTGTGGCAGATTACAGTAAGTTAAGAAATCTCTGTAGTTCTGATCTGTTGCATGCTGAGTTGTGGAACTCAGTACGCAACAGATGAGATCTACAGAGATTTCTTGTGATGATTTGTTTCCCAAAGTTTCACCATTTCCTTAACTGTGTAACAGAATTTCAGCCATTATGTTGCAGTTCAGCAACATAATGACTGAAATCATATTTTAGTGTGATGAGAATGAACTGGAGCAAAATATTGGCACATCTCTTCCTTCTGTTGCACAGTTGACTGATGGTACTTAATCTTCATTATATAAATAATAATTGTATGCCATCAAGTCAGTTCTGACTTGCTGTGTACCTTCTTGGGGGTTCCTAGTACTCAGAAGTGGTTTACCATTCCCTTCATCTAGAGGCATTCTAGGACCATGTCGCTTATCCAAGGCCACACAAGTTGACTTTTTTCTTGAGATGCACAGTTGAACTTCCAACCTCTGATCTGCAGCCAGGTGCCCAGCCCACTGAGCTATCTAGCCAGCAGGCTTCACTGTAGTGAGTTTGAAATGAGACAACTTCAAATCTGAGGTGTTGAAGTATCTGATAATTTTTGGCTGTTTTTTAGTTTCGATTGACATATATGTTTTGCTATTCAGATGTTTTCTCTGTCCCTTTTGCATCCTGTGCAGGATCGATGTACACCGAAAAGAAAACGCTGGGGCAGCAGAGAAGGCAATCAGCATCCATTCAACCCCAGAGGGTTGCTCAGCTGCTTGCAAGATGATCCTGGAAATTATGCAGAAGGAGGCCAAGGACACAAAGACGTAAGGCTAGACTACTGCTGGGGCAAATTGTTGACTTGAACATAACCATAATATACATCCAACCACTGAACTTCAGCCATAGACAATTCTTTTTCTCTCAAGTCCGCTGTTGTTTTATGACCACTTTGACAGAAGAGGGATCTTTGCCAAGAGCATCAGTTTCTCTGCTTCATATGCTTGCCTATATCATCATCTCCCATCTTCTGAGAAGAACATCTGTCTTTTGAACTATGTGCAAACTTAGTGTTCCTGAATATAGCTGTATGACAGTAATGCTCAACATTGGTGCATTGCTTCCAGTGTTCTGCAATTTTTGCATGCATTATCTGATTGGAATTCTTATGATGCACAGGAAATTGCTGTAGTCGCAGAAGCCACATTGTTGCCCTCCAAACCAATCCAGCAGCCCAAATCATTTAAGGACATACGTAGGCTCTCTCCAAAGCTGCCTCTCTGGACTGATATTCCTGGCCCTGTTTCCTGCTGAACACCCAACAGAAATTCCTTTCCCCCCCCTCAAAAAAAAAAAATTTAGAAAACTCATTTTTCTGGAATACAGTGCCCAGAATCCCCCAGCCTATATAGTTATTGGGAGTTACAATCCAAAAAAAAGTAAACTCTCTAACAACACAGAAAGGTATGTAAAAGTAGCTTTAGGGTGGGAAGGGTCTGTCGTGAGTGTGAGAGAGTGATCTAAGGCCACCTTATCAGTTCACTGAAAATTTGTGGTACTCCAAATGATGCTGGACAGCAACTTCCAGTCTTCCTTACTTTGGCTCTGCTGAGCGGAGGTGATGAGAGTTTGCAGTCCAGCATTGTATGAATGCTGCAGGTTTCCACCTTGACTTGGCTGATAAGGAATATAGAGAAGAATAGCTGAGAAGCAGGAAGGGTGACAGACAGTATTTCATGAAGTAGCTTTGAAAAGGGGCTTTGATATCCCCGTTGCCTCTTTAAAATTGTTTCTCTGCAAAATGAGTTCTCAACATCTAATTTATATCTCTCTCTGCTGTGCGACATTTTGCTTCTCAGTGGTTGTTCCTTGTGAGTCACATTTCATGCTCAGCCTCATTTTTTCAGATAAATTCTCATTTATCTGCCCGAACAAAGCCTGAATATCTGATTGCTGGAGGGTTCCAGCCTGTTCAGGGTTCACTCTCCATGCAATAAGTGGAGGCATAGGAGGCAGCTTGGAATGGTGCAGGGGTGAAGCAGGATGGAAAAAGCCATTACAACATTCCCAATTCACTTTCTTTCTCTTCCCCTCCCAGTGCTGATGAAGTGCCCCTGAAAATCCTGGCCCATAACAACTTTGTGGGAAGACTGATTGGTAAAGAGGGTCGCAACCTGAAGAAGGTGGAGCAGGACACAGAGACAAAAATCACCATCTCCTCGTAAGGCACATTGGGTTTTTTTTCCACTCTCCCTATTCACTTCCATGGTTAAAAAGCTTTATGCACAACTTGAAACCTGTCGGACTCCCTTCCCTTCTTTAGCAAGAGTGAGTGACAGTGTCTCGCAGAACCACTGCAGGTATCAATCTGTGCTTTCAGCCATTTTAGACAGGGGAAAAAGTTGTGTTTCTGCAGTACTGATTCCCCAGATTCTCCTGCCATGATGCTAGTGGGAGTGATAGTCCAAAATGGAAACTTTGTCAAGTTCTAGGAAGGATGACATTTTTCAGCTACTTAATCCAGTAATCTTCCCTGTATATGAGCTAAAGGCTAGACCAGAGACAGGAAACTTTCAAGTGTGCATCTCAGCTCCTCAGTGTGTTAAGCCAGTAGTTCTTAACCTTGGGTTACTCAGGAGTTTTGGACTTCAACTCCCAGAAGCCTTCACCACCAACTGTGCTGGCTGGGGTTTCTGGGAGTTGCAGTTCAAAAACATCCGAGTAACAAAGGTTAAGAACCACTGTGTTAAGCAGTGGCAATGTTAGGTGAAAGGCTGGAAGAGAATTTGACACGGCTCTGAAGTTAGGGGAGATTTCTTTGTGCCCTGTATTCCTTGGTTTACGAAATTCTGTCTCTGTGAGCCATTCTTTCTCATGTAACCTCAGTTTATAGTATCAAGGATGTTGCTGTGGATAGAGCCTTCTGACGCAATGCTTCCTGTTTGTTACTTGATAGTAAACTTTACTCCTTATGACTTCTGGTTCTGTAATAGTGCCACAGTGAGATCTGTATTGTGTCAACTTGTGTTAAATGAGGAGTGTATCTGAGAATCACAGGTCATAAAGAATTTTTGGGATAGTTGTTGTGGGTTTTTCGGAGTAATCTGGCCGCAGCATTCTGCACCACCTGTAGTTTCCGCAGCAGCCTCAAAGGTAGCCCCACGTAGATTAGGAACTTGATTAGGAACTCTGTCCATGCTCTGTGTTGCTGTAATTTTTGGGATTCTTTCTATTAGGAGCTCTACCATTAGACAGGCTGGGGCAAGCACCAGATTTTTAGCACCATAAAGAGGTAGTGTTAATGATTTATTTATTATTATATTTTTATTTCCTGTGAGGTAGGAAGATAAAAATCTTCATCCTTCCCAGAACTTGACAGAGGTACATTTTTCTTTGCACTAAATGAAAAAAAAAGATCTGGGAAGTGTTAGGAATTACGTACCGTGACTTTCAGGTGTGGGGGGGGGAGTGAGTCCTTTGGCTCAAGTGGCAGAATGGCTTAGGTTGGTCCTTTCTGTCTGCTTGAGAGCAAAAAAATTGTTGCCTTTAGCCCCATCCTGCAGAACAGGTATTTATGGAATATAACCCCTACTTTTTCTTTTTCCTGTCCTTTTCATCTTCTCTTCTTTTTTCTTTTCTTTTCTTTTCCTCTTCTTTTCTTTGCCTCCCTCACCACAGTCTGCAGGACTTGACGCTGTACAACCCTGAAAGGACCATCACTGTCAAAGGCTCGATTGAGAACTGCTGCAAAGCAGAGCAAGAGATCATGAAGAAAGTAAGGGAGGCCTATGAGAACGACGTGGCAGCTATGAGTGTGAGTATGTCCATGACACATCTGTCTTTTCCATGCCTGGGCATTTTGGTGCTCCTCTGACCTCCCATCTACAGCCGACACAGTCTTCTCTTCACTGGTGTCGATCTATTGAGAAGCTGTGAAATCAGTCAGCTGATCTGTATTATTTAGAGCCTAAATACGACCAGCACAAAGAACCACATATTTGTGGTTCTGTTACTCGTACATAACCATGTATCATGATATTCAGAAGAAATTGGAAATACAGATGGAGCACTCCACCAAGCTACTGTTGGAGTGTCCTCAGGCCCTTTTCTTATTGAGACCATTGACTCCAGCAGCTGTTACTAGCATTGACCACCATCTTGTTCACACTAAATAGGACCAGCACAAAGAACCACATATTTGTGGTTCTGTTACTCGTACATAACCATGTATCATGATATTCAGAAGAAATTGGAAATACAGATGGAGCACTCCACCAAGCTACTGTTGGAGTGTCCTCAGGCCCTTTTCTTATTGAGACCATTGACTCCAGCAGCTGTTACTAGCATTGACCACCATCTTGTTCACATTAGCCAGTCCTGATATTGACAGAACATGTTCCAGAAATCCTGGTATGAAATTCAGTGTTGTATCAAAGAGAAACGATGTGCTGAGGCCATGTTTCATGACTGATAGCTGCACCAGGTGTCGAAGTAGCAATAAAGGAGGTGGTGTGCAGACTTTAAACATCAGGAGCTAATGGTGATGACTTATAGGGAGTTGATGAGGAAGAAGGTTGTATAGGCTCAGTCCTTCTATCCCATTTTCTCTTGTTAAGAGTATTATGATTCTCACATGTGGGGATATATAGTAGCAAATGACTATTCAAAGGAACACATCTATAGGTAAGTGTTCTGTTCTCCCTTCCCCTGCTGGCTTTCCATGGCCTTTAGAATGCCTAGAGATTCCCTCTAGAGAATTTCTAGACACTCTGGAGCCAGTTTTGGGGGTGTACTGCATGGTGCATTGGGAAGAACATCTTCCCTTCCTTCCTCTGGATTCTGCTGTTTCACCACTGGTAGCTTGGCACTGAATCCTGCCCAAATATCCTTCAAAAGATACTGATCTGTGATATTTTATAGGTCAGTGCAATAAATGCTGATTGTACTCTTTCATTTTAATTTCTTGACTCAGAGGATTAACTATAATGACTGAGAGTCTGGAGCAACTCCACTAATAAAGATAGTAATATTTGAGGGTTTTTAGCTTAGAAAAAAAAAACAGAAGAAATAAGAGGCAAGAGAGATGTGGATACAGTTATACATGGTGTGGCGAAGGAAGATGGGGGAAGTTGTGCTTCCGTCATAATACTAAGAATACATTGTTGGTTGCCTAGTGAAAATGAATAGTGTAAGATTGCTGACAGACGACAGGACGTACAGCTATAGTTAAACAATGAAATTCAGTATGATAAGAAGTAGCAGTAGCTGCCAACTTGAATGGTGTTAAAAGAGAATAAGGCCATCAGTGACTATTAGCGCTTGGAAACCTTACTGATACAGCTAGTACACTAGCATAAAGTGCAATAAAAGTAGCTTGCTGATTACTATAGTATATATGTAATAAAAAGTAATGTTGCTTATTAATAATTCATTATTATCACATTACTTTTAATTGATTTTGTTAAAAATAGAAATCATTACAAGGAAACAAAAACAACAACCAGATGTTCCCCAAAGAATCTTTAAAAATAAATATTATTCGTTATGTAAAAAAAAACAGTGCTTACTTTGTTCTTGCTAAAATGCTTACAGCTGATGAGATTGCCTTCCTTTTGAGAAAAAGAATAAAAGGGAATAATAAGAATACAGTGGTGCCTCGACTTACAAAAGTAATCCGTATTGGAACGGTGGCCACAACTTGAAAATTTCATAAGTCGAAGCACCATTTTCCATAGGAATGCATTGCAAACCATTTAATCCATTCCGACCACAGAAAAAAATCACCAAACGCGAGGCAGAGGGCACCACAGGGAAAAAAAATCACCAAACGCGAGGCAGAGGGCAGCAAGGGCGGCTTTGAATTTCTCGCCCTTTCCCCCTGCCTTTTGTAGGTCGAAGCTCCGGCCGCAAGTCGAACAAAGTTTTTGCAGCCAGAGCTTTTCGTACCTCGAAATTTTCGTAAGTAGGGACGTTCTTAAACTGAGGCTCCACTGTATTATATCGAATGTATTATTTCCGAGCTCTAATCATAGTGATATATCAGAAGAAGCATCCTTCTGAATTCCAGAAGCTATAGGATAATAGCCAAAATGTGTTAACGTGATCGTGCTTGTGGGCTTCCCAGTAGCAGCCCAACGACCACAGTGAGAACAGGAAAGTGGACTAGGTAGGTCATTAGTCTAATCTTCTGTTCTTTGGCCGTGGTCTTTAAATTGTGTGCCATAAAGTCAATTCCAACTTATGGCAGCCCTTTTCAGGGTACAGAGTATTCAGAAATGGTTTACAATTCCCATCTTCTGGGGGCACTCTGGAACTGTGGAACTTGCCCAGGATTCCACAAACTTTTCTTTCTGGGAGTCACAGTGGGGAATTGATCTCCCAACTTTTATCTCCAAAATTCAATTAAAAACATGGCTTTACATCCAGGCCTTCCCTCCTGTCAGCATTTAACTTCCTTTCTTTTTCCTTTCTCTCTTTTCTTTATTATTATTTTTGGAATGTTTCGTTATTGATGATGCTAATGGATTTCTATTATTTTAACTGTATATATTTTTGTTGTTAGCCGCCCAGAGTGGTAGAATATACCAGATGGGTGGGATATAAATCAATCAAATAAATACATAAATAAATAAAATAAACAACCTCTACTCCTCCAACCGGATGCCCAACTCACTGTGCTGTTCAGCTAGCTATTATTGTCCTGCCTCTGCAAAAATGCATGCACCTCTGCTGATGGAAGTGTTGTAGTAATGTGTGAAATAAACCTGTTGTTATTTATTTTCTCTTTTAGCTACAGTCACACCTGATACCTGGCCTCAATTTAGCTGCTGTTGGCCTTTTCCCTGCCTCTTCCAATGCAGTGCCACCTCCTCCAAGTAGTGTCTCTGGAGCAGCCCCGTACAGTTCTTTCTTGGTAGGCTTGCAGTCTGGTTATCTCTGGGGAACTGGGTGATTGTTCTCTCCAACCTTTAAAGCCCATTCACACAAAGGGCAATGTGATCTCGCTGATGCATAGCACAAAATTTTAGCATTTTGTTCTTTTGATGATATCCTATATTTTCCATCTACAATTCAAGTTCTATTTGTTTTTAAAGCACATGTGGGATAATTCTATAGGTGTTTGCTCAGTCTGACCTATGAAGTTCAATGGAGCCTCTTCCTAGAAAAGTATTTATAAAGTTCTGGCATTTTTGCTAGGCTAGGGAAATTTCTTCATGTCAAGCTCTGTGTTATCTCTGTCAAATTTGTCAGGAACCATCATCCGGCAGTGGTTGCAGCCAGGTCTAAAATTGGGCAGAACCAGGGCCAAAGAGGGCCAAGTTTTCAAAGCAGGTTGATGTCATTCCATGTATTTCTCACTTCTGCCTTTGAAGCTGCTTTCTCTCTGGTCTTATCTGCATGATGAGATTTTTAATTGGCCTAAATGTGTGTGGAATTTGAACATTTAGAGCAGTGCTCAACATTAGTACAGTGGTGCCTTGCATTACGATGTTAATTCGTTCCTGCGAAATCGCTGTAGAATGAAAATGTCATAATGCGAAAAGAAAAAACTCCTTGAAACGCATTAAAACCCGTTTAATGCTTTCCAAAGGGCTGTAAACTCACCGTCCAGGGAAGATCCTCCGTAAGGCGGCCATTTTCACTGCCTGTGCAGAGAGGAATCCGTCCCAGAAAACAGCGGGGGGCCGTTTTGTTTACCCGGCGGCCATTTTGAAACCGCTGATCAGCTGTTGGAAAATCATCGTTTTGCAAAGAATCGGTTCCCGAAGCAGGGAACCGACCATCACAAAACGAAATTCCCCCATAGGAAACATCGTTTTGCGATCACAAAAAGTTCATTGTAATGCGGTTTCATTGTTAAATGGGGCAGTCGTAAAGCGAGGCACCACTGTATATGCTTATTCAATTATTAACTTTAACAGCTATTTACTGGACCTCTAGTTTGGGATTAAAGGTGATTTATTTTTGGTTTTGTTTATGTAAGCAGTTCTTACGTAACAGACAGCAGTTTTTAGCTTAAAATGTGTTAAATAGATGCATCTTAGCTTAACTGATACTGAGTGGTGGCTTTTGTACTTTCTCTTGACAGCCTCCTGAACAAGAAACAGTGCACGTCTTTATCCCTGCCCAGGCTGTGGGTGCAATCATTGGCAAGAAGGGACAGCACATCAAACAGCTGTCCAGATTTGCAAGTGCCTCCATCAAGGTGCCCCTTCCTTTTTCTGTCTCTTCAGTCCTTTAACCATTGTGATTGACCGGCCACTGTGTGAAGCAGTGGTTGCTGTGGTGGTTACAAAACAAACTAACAAAGTAGAAATATCCATCACACCCTTTTCTTTGCATTCGTTTCTACAGTTGAGAAAGCCAGTGTGGTGGCTCAGCTGAAAAAAACAAGGCACTGGAGCATAGTTCACAAGGAAGTTCTCCTGTGGGGGCCACATAAATATGATACAGCTTCCCTTCAGTTGATTACATGGGAGACATCTTAATGTATGTGTTACATTTATGTCTTGGCTTTCTTTCAAGGAGCTTAAAGTGTCCATAGTCCTCCCCATTTTAATCATCACAGTACCTGCCTGAGTTAAGTGAGGTTGAGAGGTAGTGACTGGTCTAACCTGTTCAGGCTGATGGTAGAGTAGGTTTTGAACCCAACACCAAGATCTTGGTACTTTAGTACAGTGGTCCCCAACCTTGGGCCTCCAGATGTTCTTGGACTGCAACTCCCAGAGGCTTTCGCCACCACTTCTGCTGGCCAGGATTTCTGGGAGTTGAAGTCCAAGAACATCTGGAGGCCCAAGGTGGGGGACCACTGCTTTAGTAGACAACATCAGCCAAATAAGACTTTCTTTCCATCCTGATCCTGTTATAGCTCCCCATGATGTGGGAAATCTCCAAAAGTCTTCTCAGCCTAACGGGGCAAGTTTTAAGGGTTTGCTGCCATCCTACTTTCACTTCTTGGTGGAAGAAGTTGGCTGGAAGTACACCATTGGATTCTGGTTTGGGTCTCCTCAGTTCTAGCCTGAAACTCCAACTGCTGCATGTTGCAAGCTCTCAAGATGCCCTTCGAATCTGTCATTAGACTTCAGTCCAAGCATTGATACAGCTTGCCGTGGGACCTTGAGCAAGCCATGGCATCTCAGTCTTTGTTTGCCCCCTTGTGTAACTTCTCCTAAATGAAAACTGGATTTGGCTTATGGGGTAACTGTCAGGTCAAGTACTTCCACCTTTTTCTCTTCATGTAGGGGGCGCTGTGTGATGTAGTGGTTAGAGCCTTGGATCTGGGAGGTCCAAGTCTCCACTGAGCCATGAAACTTCATTGCATGAAGAAAGCCCTGTGGACTGCCTTAAGATCTTTGCCAGAAAGGCAAGAAATATAACTAAGGGTGTGACCAGACAGGGTTTAGGTCACATTTGGAGTGCTGAGAGTGTGGTCTTCTTTGCTCTATTTGGCAAGAACCAGGCAACGTACTGCAGATGGCTGTCCCTTGTTCTGTCCTCTGTCTGGATCTTTTTGATGATGTGGTAATGCTGCTCTGTTCTTGGAGTGGGCTCTGCAATTCAGACTGGATGCATGGGGCACTTTTAAGATCACACCCGGGAAGCTAGTGTGATCTTTATGTCCTTATCTGGTCACATCCTAGATAACAGCAACAACACGAGTGCTCTGCTTGTCAATGCTTGAAAGTGCCTGAACCTCTAAAATATATAGATTTCTCTCAGTCTGTTGCCAAGATAGATGTAACTTTTTTTGTACTTCCCAGACTCACCCCAAAGCAGGAGTAACATATAGCTGACTTTCTGTTTCTTTACACAGTGCCTTGACGATCCACACACAGTTCTATATCATTGTGGCACTGTTGGTACAATGTTTGTGTGCCTGAACAAAGTCCAGTGCCATATCTGTATAATTTCAAGGCCTCTTCTCTGTCCTTGCATTCAGTACAGTGGAGTCTTGACCTATGGACTTAATCCGTATTGAACAGTGTCCCTAGATTGAAAGTCCGTAGGTTGAAAATGCATTCCCCATAGGAATGCATTGAAAACCCATTAATACGTTGCGGCCCAAGAAAAAAATACCCCCCCCCAATAAAAACAAAACTAAAACACTGGAAGCCCCTGGCGCTGCAAAAAAACAAAACAAACACAAACCCAACCCCACCAGCCCAATCCCACCCTGCAAAAGACCCCAAAAAGTTTTTAAAAAGCAAAAAACAGCACCTTACCTGCACTGCCGCGACCACTGCTGCCAGGAGGCCTCCTGGACTCTAATCCCCATTGCTGGGCCTGGCCTCTGCCACTGGACCAGGGCTACGGCCGCTGGGCCTGGCCTCCACCGCCGCCTTTCTGCCCTGCCGCCAGGCTTTGCCGCTGCTGAAACCACCATCGGGTGCAGCACTTTGGGAGAAGCCGCGCGGTGGGGGAAAAAGGCCGGATCGGCTCCTGCCTCTCTTCCCCGCCATCCAGCTTCTCCCGAAGGGCTGCCCCCAATGGCGATTTTGGCAGTGGAGAAGCCGGGCAGCGGGGGAGAAAGGCAGGACTCACCCCAGGGTAGACCCTTGCTTCCATCCCTCCCTCCCTGAAATTCAAGGGCACTCTGTGTGTTCCCTTTTTGTGTCCTCAGAGCCTCCCTTTTCCAAACCGTTGGGGCGAAAGAGCTAAAGAAGCAGCCTCTTTGCCACCAATGGTTTGAATTTCCCACCCTTTTTCCATGCCTTTTTCGGTCCGTACGTCGAAGCTCCAGCCGCAAATTGATCCAAAATTTTGCGGCTGGAGCTGTCCGTACGTCGAAAAGTCCGTAAGTGGGGCCATTCGTAGGTTGAGACTCCACTGTAGTATCCCACCTGTTTAGCCACAGGTCAGTTTGTGACTTGCTGCCAGCTCCTGTCAGCTCTGCCTCTGAACATTGCAGTCCACTTAATGTTCCCTTTCTTGCTACTCCTGTCTTTTTGCATTTGTGAGTCTGTGGATCAACTTTTGACCCAGTTCATTTTGAACCCACAGCTTTGGAACCAAGGAGGGATGGCGTATCTACCAGGGCTTGGAAAAATCTCCTTTTGATTTAGAGACTAGCAAAAAGATTATGAGAGCTATAATTCAAATGTAACTTTTTCCAGGCTTCTTAACGAACCCTACTGATAAATTTCACTAGTTAACCAGAAGGCTGAGAAAGCCCTTTATGTCTTTCATTCTTCTGTTGTCTCTTCCAGATTGCTCCTGCCGAGACACCCGATTCCAAAGTGCGAATGGTGATAATCACTGGACCACCAGAAGCCCAATTCAAGGTGTCTTCCCTTCACTTGGTTATGCATGCTAATGGTAGAAGTGTAATTGCAGGGGGCATGCACAAGATTACAGGAATCAGTTCTTTCTTTATTATTCAAATAGAAGCTTCTCAAACCTTTTTGCCAGCAATTTTGAGACAGTGCCAGATGGTCTGAAATAGCTGCCACAGAGGAATGTGCCTGTTTAGAAAATGTCTGCAATACAAACAACCAAAGAAGGGACTGGGAAATCTGGACTGGGATAGATGTTGTTCAGATGGTCTGAAATAGCTGCCACAGAGGGATGTGTCTGTTTAGAAAACGTCCGCAATACAAACAACCAAAGAAGGGAGTGGGAAATCTGGACTGGGATAGATGTTGTTCACAAAGTGCCCATTTCTCTTTTTCCTTCTTCACTGCTTTAACCCCTATGATTTCTGTGGGCACAAATTTCATCCCTAGGGCTAAACCTTGTCTTTAGTTCCAGCTAGAGTAGACCCATTACATTAGTAGAATTTATGTAGGTGTTGGTTTAATGAGTCCCATCCAGTCAGTTGGCTAAGAATGGCTGAGTTTAATGGTTGTTAGTTCCAGATGCATGGCATTGCACAGCTGTCTGTTCAGAGAATCATCAAGCATCTGTTAAACTTTGCTTTAATGTTGCTCAAAGCTGTGTGCAGGTATAGATTAAAGCATGTTCATCATCAAGCATTGGTTAAAACAGAGCAACAGCTATACTAAAGCAGCAGCCGTTCCCAAAACTGTAAGGCAGAGGTGAGGATATTTTGCCACTGACTAAACTAAGAGTTATAATCTCCAGATATAATGCTTCCAGAGTTCTGGATTTATTTTAACTTTTAACAAATCTGGAGAATGAACGTTCTTAGTGATTTCTGCACAGTTCTAGAAATTCTTTGGAACTCAGTCAGGTTTGAGGTTCAGCTTCTTACAAGTATGTTGCAAAACTACCTTAGTACCTCGCGTTTACGAATTTATTGTGTTCTATGGGACATTATGTAATGCGGAAAATTCGGAAACGGAAACACTAATTGCCATAGGAATGGGGGCGACACTACAAACCTCCAGGCACAATGCATCCTGGAGAAACTTTCTTCGTACTCCGAAAAAAAACCTGGGAAAAAACGTAAACCGAGGCATTATTTTCAATGGATTTTGCTTCATAAACCGAAAACTACGTTAACCTAGGTGTTCGTAAACTGAGGCACCACTGTATCTTAAGGCAATCTCACATTATTCTGAAAAGTATCTTTTATGAATCCATTTTATGTCTTCAGTTGATTCCCATTGGTAAGGTGCAGATATGCATTTATTTCAGTGTGCACACTGAAAACTCATGAAGGAGAACCCTATACAGTGGTGCCCCGCATAACGAGCGCTTCGTTTAATGACGAATCCACATAGCGATGTGTTTTTTGCGATTGCAAAAGCAATCGTATTGCGATGTTTCTAATGGTAAAACATCGCTTTGTGATGATCGGTAAGCGTTTTGCTTACCGATTTTCGCATAGCAATGCTTTTTTTAACAGCTGATCCACTGTTCCAAAATGTGTTTTCGTGCCCTTTCCTCGCTTACTGGGCAGCGAAAATGACCGCGTGGAGGATTTTCCCATAACGGTGAGTTTTTTGCCCATAGGAACACATTAAACGTGTTTTAATGCATTCCTATGGGCTTTTTTGCCCCGCATAGCGACGAATCCACATAGTGATGATTTTTTCGGAACAGATTATCGTCACTATGCGGAGCATCACTATACAGCTTCTTGCCTTTGAGCATTTCCCTTGGTCTGGTGCCAGGTATGTTCTGTAGATTTGTGTATATCTCTAGAGATGACAGTGATTTTTAGATGTTTTTGGACAACAACCTCCACCATACCTTCCTGTTAGCCACATTGGCTATGGAGTGGACATCTGAAGTGCCATACATTCTCCAGACCTGCTGCATAGCAAGAGCAGATTAAGTCTCTAAGTCTGGATCCTTCCATAGCTAAAATCCTAAAGATGAAAACGAATTTGGAGATTGGGCAAAGCTGTTCTAAGTTCTATAACTTTGTATGAAAATCATCTGATTGTTTAATAACTCCTTAGTCTCCGCTTCCTTCTCCACCTTCCAGGCTCAAGGGCGAATTTATGGAAAGCTTAAAGAAGAGAACTTTTTTGGGCCCAAAGAAGAAGTGAAACTGGAGACACACATCCGTGTCCCTGCTTCAGCTGCAGGGAGAGTCATTGGCAAAGGAGGCAAAACAGTGAGTGCAGGGTTGGGCTTGCCAAGAGTTAGCGAGGAAACAAGCCGCTGAGTATGTCTAGGATTCCTGTAATCAGAGATGGAATGATCATGGCCCAATGATGATAGTGTTTGATTTTCCTGAATGTTGACCTTTCAGACATGCCGTGTTTGTAAGGCTCACAGCTCACAACTGAAGCACATTCTTCTCCCCAAAGTTAACATTGGGGTACACACTTAAAACTTAAGCCTGCTAAAAGTTAACAGACGGCTAGAAGACTAAGTCATGGTTTCTTGGTTTGGTGGAATGTTCCAACACTGACAAACAAGTGAAATGAAGGTTTGAAATGAAGGTTTGAAGTTGGTCTGCCAACTACAGTTTGGGCAGACTGGGCGTCTGAACCAACAAGCCATGGCTTTTTAATGTACTCCGCCTTCACAACTATCAACCTGTTATTCAAGTAAAGGCTTCACCTTGAAATGTTGGAGTAAGTCTCCTACCCCTAGCAAAAAGGTACTGTTGTGTGTCTTAAGATTAAGCATTCCATCTGCCAGGGAACATCATGGTTTGAGTTACAAAACACAAAAGTACATGGTTGAAGTTGGAACACAAACAGGCTGGAATTTCAAACCTATTGAACTTCGCTGAAATAGGGCATGGCTTCACAGTTGGATTGTGACAGAAAGCTGCTCGATTGTGGCGCTTTTTAAAGGGTTAAATTCAGTTAATTGTTGCTTCTTTTTCCACTTACAGGTAAATGAACTGCAGAACCTGACAGCAGCCGAGGTAGTTGTTCCACGGGACCAAACCCCTGATGAAAATGAACAAGTCATTGTCAAAATCATTGGACATTTCTATGCCAGCCAGGTAAGGAGTTGAAATAGGTTGCTGCATTGACATGGAAGAGGATAAAGGAACTTTTTTTTTTTAGAAAATATAGTGTACTAACATTATGGTCTGGTTAGACAACATGGAAGTGTTGGTTCAGCAGTATAAGATAACCTCTAAAGCCTAAGTCTCATGTGTAGGCAGCTCATGCCCCCCTCCAAACTGCAATGCAAGAGCTGTCCCTGATCTCACTCAAGTCCTCCCGTCTTCTCTTTCAGCACACTCCGATAGAGATGACTAGAAAGCACTAGCTCCCAGGTTTGAACCACTGTTTGATGTCGTAGGATAAACGCTGTTAGTTGAATTTATGGGTTATTGATAAGCAAAGATCATTCGTGGTTTCTTATCTTGGGATTTGTTTAATTTTTTTTTTAATTTTTAACTCTGACCATGGTTTTTAGCTTTTGCTTTGTTCCAGGGACGTGGTGGCGCTGTGGGCTAAACCGCAGAAGCCTGTGCTGCAGGGTTAGAAGACCAAGCAGTCATAAGATCGAATCCACGCAACGGAGTGAGCGCCCGTTGCTTGTCCCAGCTCCCGCCAACCTAGCGGTTCGAAAGCATGCAAATGCAAGTAGATAAATAGGGACCACCTCGGTGGGAAGGTAACAGCGTTCTGTGCCTAAATAAACGCTGTTAGTTGCATTTATGGGTTATTGATAAGCAAAGATCATTTGTGGTTTCTTATCTTGGGATTTTTTTAATATATATATATTTTTTAACTTTAACTCTGACCATGGTTCTTAGCTTTTGCTTTGTTCCAGTACATTTTAAATTTAAACTGATCTTAAATTAAAACATCATCCTTGTTCTGGGTATAAGGACAAACTGACTCATTTGAATTAGGACGAGAATGTACTGAGTTAAAGGTTTGAATCATGACTGAACTAGGCCTATGTGTAATTTCTTTGGCTAGTGGATTTTTGGTAGAGGAGTAGAAACTGAGATCAGGGCTCCCTCCCCTTCATGCAGTTTACAAGACACTATCCAGTTGTTGGTTCCAACTAGAGTATACACATTAAATCAGTGAGGCTTAACTAAATGTTGACAACAAGTCCTGTTGATTCAGTGGGTTGCTTTGGCTGAGATTAATAATTAGATTTAGGCCATAATCCTCAGTATATGAAATATATGTTTGTATATTAACTGGCTTTCCCCTTTGCCAGAAAAAAAAAATCAGAATTTAATAAACAAAAGATTAAGTCAGTATGTGGAAAAAGTTACTTTTGGGGACTATAGCTCCCGCAGTACCTTCTCTTCCAGGAATCCTTAGAAAATTATGTATTTGACCACTAGAGAGCACAAGATGACTTTAACAATATTAATAATGAAAATATTAACAATATTAAGCAGTACATATATTCATACTTCCCACTCTACCTCACTCATCCCCATAACAGTCGTATCCAAAGTCTATATGATGAAGCTTTCCAAAGGAGATTAGTCATATTCCGAACATACTTTAAAAACCAATAAATTCTGTATGCCTTAAGTCATCCCTTATTATCTGTTCATTCATACCTGGGATTGAAACCTGGTAGTGAGCAGAGTTTTAGCTGCAGTACTACAGTTTTACCACTGCACCACAAGAGTCCTGGTGGGGATAGGCGAACGAGGTGTTATTCCCTTAAATTTTGTAGATATTAATTTGCCTGTAGTGCAAATACTGTACCTAGGAAGGTGTCATCCAAACATAGATAGACAGACAGATGGACAGACACGTGTAACACATATTTATATGAATTTTCACTGTCTTTTAATGTTCATGTATGTTCACTTATGTATGCAAGTTATGGCTTTTTAAATGCTATTAAATTTGTCCACACTGTGCTAAGGGGAGACGAGAAGAGCAGCAGGCAATCCAAAATTGTAAGAGCAAATTTGTCCACCATGTGTTTGACCGATGTTTTTTGCTATAAATTTGTTTGTCCTCCCCCTCCCCATCTCTTTCTTGCCAGATGGCGCAGCGCAAAATACGCGATATCCTCGCTCAGGTGAAACAACAGCATCAGAAGGGACAGAACAGCCAGACACAAGCACGAAGGAAATAAGAATTTGCTTTACCCTGAGTGTGTGAGAGAAAAAGAGAGTGAGAGAGAGATTGAGAGAGAGAGAGAGAAAGAGAGAGATGGACAAACAAATGACATTGACAACGGATGACACAAAGCCAGGCAGAGTGATGAGCTGGTGCAGAACCCTAAGAGTGGCTGGGAATCAGTTTACCGTAGGCGGGTATTAGTAATTTTCTTATAGACGGGTGAATTCAGGTCTCATGAGCCAAAGGCAGTTCTAATTGGCTCCTCAGGCATCCTGTGGGTGTATGCTTTTATGCACACAAAAACACACAAATATCTATTTCAGGGGCGAAACTTAGATCAGCCAATATTGGGGGGGAATTCCAGACATGAAAAAAGACACGAGATTGTCCAGAGGACAGAAGTGTTCGCTCATGCAATCTGTTGTGCCTTTACCAGAGTGATGGCACACACACACACAAATTAGCATCCCCCCCCGTATTCCCAATGCAGATCATGTTAGGGTTTATTTGAACCACTTTCTCTAGGGCAATCTTCCTCAGCCTTTTATTTCCTTGATGTTTGGGCCGTTGAATATACTGAGTGGGTCTGGAGGGCACCCAAAGGCTGCACTGTAGTATCCAATGAACCTTCCCTCCTTTGGTTATTCCGATTCTTGTTGATTTTTGTGACTTGTCAATTGCTCTTGTTCAGGGACTGGTTGTCTGCATTTACACAGACTTATCCCTGTGCAGTTGGAGCTTTCCCTACAGTACTAGCCCTACAGTACTAGGGCAAGATGCTGTGACTAGCATTGCCTTGGTTATAAAATCAGCCTGAGGGCGAGGGATTTACATGTTTTCTATTCAAGCTCTTTGTGTTTTCTGGCAAGCAAGGCTACATGGTTACTAGTAGGTCCTGTTTAATTTCCAGACACCAAATGTATTCCTCTGCATACCAGTTTCAGAAATAGAAATAACTGTGAAGAGTTCTGCGATCCTGCCTGATCCCACATGCCAAATTGTTCCATGTTGAGACTTGAGGGATTAGTAAAGGAAGCCAAAGGATGTCTCTAGACCCACAGGCCCTCAGCTTCCCACTGCACAAAGCTTGAGTCAGTTTGTCCTCCCCAAATCCCCCAACCACAGTAGTCATTCTGGGTGGAGGATTATGGAAATTACCCTTTTCCAAGCTCTGTTGACACAGAAGAAGAATTTACCTCAGCTTTTCACCCCAGGGTACACGCACATGTTCTTGAGAGGTTCTCTGTCACTTTATGGATTTATTTTTTTAGCATAATTGTTTCTGCCTATTCATGGGGTTACCTTTGAAATGATCGATGTGGAAGGAAGGGAGAAGGTTCCCTTCCAGATTGGCCATGGGATCCCAGTTGACTTAAAAATAAATACACATGGGGAGGTAGAACAAGACAATACCTGCTGTTTCGGTATTCTCTTTCCTAGAAAATATTTTGTGGTTTAGTTCAAATATTTATACCAAACCATGGTTTGTTTACCCATAGTTTAGAATTTAAATCATGATTCAATTTTCTGGACAATTATGCAGATCATAGTTTAGGAAAGCTTGCTGCTTCTCATTTGCTAACTGTTCCCTTTTCTTTCATAACTGGGCACTACAGGACTAGAGGAGCGGCCATGACTTTTTTTTGGCCAGTTCAGGCATCATCTCAAATCATAGTTTGCAAAAACCCACTACAAATCTGGGTTTCTGATTTTTTTGTTGTTGTTGTTGGCAGTTTGTAAATAAGAGCATTGCATCAAAAATATTTAAGCCTCCTTTGCAAGTCCACCTATTTGCCTAGAAGTAAACTCTGTTGAAGCCACCATTGCTTATTTCTGAGTAGACACATGTAGACTTGTGCTGTTAACCATGGTTTGGGATAAATTGAGTTAGTTCTCTTAAAAGCCATTCATTAGGGAAGAAAATTCATTCTTTCTCTCACTCCTTCACTCACTCCCTGGCTCAACTATTTTAAGTCTTAAGCCAGAGAAAGTATTTAAATTACTGGAAAATCAAGTAATGAAGAACACCAATGGTGTAAACTCTTAACGAGCAAGCCTGGTGGAATGAGTCATTAAAATTGCTGAACACAGAAATGGTATCAAAGGTATTATAGAAAAATTACAATAATGAACTACCAGTATCAAGTCACCAGTTTCAAGTTCTTTTTAGTTAATTTTTTAAAAAACTGTGAGTTAGATCCCAGGGGTTTCCTTCAATGATGGAAGTGTCTCTTGATCCAACCCATTTTTTTTGTGGGTTTTTCGGGCTCTTTGGCCGTGTTCTGAAGGTTGTTCTTCCTTCAAGAACAACCTTCAGAACATGGCCAAAGAACCCAAAAAATCCACAACAACCATTAGATCCCGGCCGTGAAAGCCTTCGCGAATATATCCAACCCATTCTGTTTGACCTTCCTTTTTGTTTGGATTTTTGGTTAAGAGATCCACAAACCTAGTCTTTCCCTTCATCTGATTTTTTTTTAAAAAATCCAAGGTTGCATGCCAAGTTTTAGGTATGGCTGCGCCACGGTTTTCAATGTTTCTTTTAAAGTACCGTATTTTTCGCTCCATAAGATGCACCCTTCCATAAGACGCACTAATTTTTTAGGAGAAGAAAACAGGAAAATATAATCTGTTTTCTTCGCTCCATAAGACGCACAGACTTTCCACCCCCCTGTTTTGTGGGGAAAAAGTGTGTCTTATGGTGCGAAAAATACAGTATGTGTATGTTTCTAAATGAGCAAGTCAGTTTTGCCATGTTTTGGCAGGTGTTTTCTCCTCCAGTGCTTTCTCTTCATTTTGTGGTTGCAAATTTTTGATTGGACAGTTCAGACCATAGAAAAATCCCTGTCAGAAACACGCAAGTCCCCACACTCATCTCTTTGACACCAATAAACATATCCAGGTAAATGTGTCTGCATGTTTCACTTCCATTATACTGGTTGGATGCTATCCAGTGAAACATCAGATATTCATTAAAAAGTATGATCTAACTATAGGTAATATAGTCTGGAATGTCCTTGGCTTAGACCTTGGATTTCCAAGTCTTTACTTTGGAGCAGTTGAACTGTGGATTACAACCTAAAAGTGACAGTATGTTAGATTAGTCAGAATTTCTGTCCATTTCAGAAGTTTCTTCTCACATCATAGTGTTGCTCTGCTTCAGGAATTTAAGGGGGTGGGAAAGGATTTGCTGAACTGAAAAGACTGGTGCTTATAGGAACCTCAGTGCTTAGGCATACCAAAAAGAAAAGAGGATTGCCCTGTTTCAGAAAGCCTCAGAAATCTGTGTGCCTGTTGATGCGCAAGTGGAGAGTTAAGACTAGAGATCACAGTGCATAGACGGTTGTGTTCACAAATGGGGAGAGTTACTCTTTTTTTTCTAATACAATTCCCAGAGTAAATGGTTAGAATGGGTGGGGGCTTCTGGGAATTATACTCCAAAAAAGTAACTTTATCTCTGATTCTGTTGCATTAGAGTTCTTAAGATTTTTTAGCATTTTCCTGTTGATTAGTTGAGGTCATGTCTCTTTCATGGAACAGACTTTAATCATGGCCATGTGGGAACTGGTGCACACAGATCACACTCTTATAATCAGAGCAAGTTACTCCCTAGTTGGTCATAATTATGCGTTTAAAATGGCTGATCTGGGTACTTACAGTGCAGCCCTGTACATTGAGCAAGGCTTGCAATAGGCCTTAATCCCATGTAAAGTGTGTATAGGAGTGCATTAGTAACGACCTAGCCCCACGTTAAAACTACTACCAGGGTAGTACAGTAGAAAACAAACACATGTGTGGAAACTTCCAGGGGAAAAGAATAATTAATTACAGTAGGGACTAAAGGTTGTGTTTTAAATCAGGATTCATACACATATTTGGGTTTCTCCTAGGGGTTAAAGAAAAGAAAAGAAAGAGGAATAAAAGTGAAACCAAAAGTAATTTTTTAATAAATTAGCGTTATTTTAAATGGATAAGTCTCTTTCCTAATTTGGGAGGGGAGATCTTTTCTACCACAGAGATATTCAATGTCTTCATGAGGCGATAACCAAATATTGACATCAGAAGAATGTAATGTGGTTACTGATCCCAGTCACTCTTATGTGAATATTGAAAAGAAAGAAAAATGTGTAAAATGTATATAGTGGATTTGTGAGTATTTGTGGAAGATGGGAATTGGTCGCCTGGCAGCCTGAGTGAGCCCAGAACAAAGTTTTGTCTCTGCATTGAAACAGGTTTATGATTTCTTACAATGATTGTTACCCTACAGGAAACTAAAGCTTTAACTCAGATAAATCCAGTTCTGATATTTGGACTCAAAATTAATTTACATTTCTGTTATCCAAAATATGCTACTTTAGGTTTCTGTTCTTGCACTGAGCACAAGTTTTTGCATCAATGAACTCTGGCTGTTATGTTCTTTTTTACAATTCCCCCTTCACATGCTTCCAGGGGCTTGACTCAAAATTAAGAGTACTCGGGATTGTCATCTTAACAGTCAGAGCTGTGCTCATTTATTTAATGTATTTGGTAGAATTCTAGTGGCTGTCCAGAGTAAATGTGCCTCATGTTGAAACATTAGTGGCATTAGTGGCCTTTGCTTATAAGATTATAACAACAGATTGAGCTTAATTTGCGGATAATGGATTGTGGTTGTGGAGGAAAAAGCAGTATTTCTTCATCTGCATCCCCATGTACTACAACACAGTCTGGGTTTGACAGCCACAAGCCCCAGAGTAATTCTTATGTGCTGTGGGTTAATGCTAAAATGTTCGGTCTTTTAATTTTTTACATTAATATAAAAAATACAAATGGGTAAATGAACAGAAAATTGTGTCCAAAGCTCTTAATTTGAAAAGGACTGATATAACAGTCTTTTTGATTTGAATATACATATCCTGTGTCTTGAATACCCACTGTGATGTAGTGGATAGAGTGATGGACTAGGACTTGGGAGGTCTGGGTTCAAATCCCCACTCAACCATGGAAACTTACTGGAGGTATGGAACTAGTAAACCCACTCCTTAAATATCTCATTTACCTTGAAGGCCCTATTAGGGTCACTGTAAGTCAGTTCCAGCTTGATGGCACATAACAATTCTGTATTTTAAACAGAACTGGATTTCTGAGTCTTAAGTTCTCTTGTTGGGAGTAAAATTCTGTTGAAATATTTCAGATGTAGCCTGCATCTTGCAGAACAGCCAGAAATTTGAGGTCGACTTAGGTGTTTTTTAAAGGCTAAAGGTTCATTGATATCAACATTCATTCAGGTTAACAATATCATTCTAATGGATCAAATGTTTGTCTTTTGGATATATGTAATGAGGAAAACTAACCTTTGCATATACATATACATATGTATATGTATATATTGGCGATAACCAATATGAACATATATACAGTATATGTTCGCATACTGGCAGAGATAAGACTTTTGTTCCCATTTCAATCAGTGGATATCCCAATTTAACCAAGATCTTGCAGAAGCCTGGGGATCCATGTTTTGGGCTGAAAGGCAGCCAGCAGATCAAGTTCCAAAGGACTTCCATGTGCCTAATAAGTCAGCTGACATTGTTGAATATGAATTTAAACAGAAGTGGCTGCATGGATCTTGCTGTTTTACACTGAAGTGGTTACTGTCCTTTTTTACACCTTGCAAACAAAGAGACGTGTGCAGAAAGGTCGGGAATTGCTGTATGTGTTTTTAAGGGAAAGGAAGAAGAAGAAAAAAGAAATGAGAGGAAAATGGGGGGAAAAAAGCTACCTCAAGGTATGAAGTTACCTCAGCAATTGTTTTGTTTTGGGCTTGCTGATATTTTATATAAAAAGCTGATAGTCTTGAATATTTTATTTTTTTAATGAAAAGAGAAGTTAAGTTTCATAATTTCTTATGAGCCAGAAGTTGTTATGCAGGTCGGCAGTGTTATGAGCTCTCTATGGAAAATGACAGAGACGTCAGACGTAGCGGAAAAGATGGCAGACTTCTCTCGCCCACTCACCTAAAAGAACAGTTTGGTTTTTGCAAAATGACAGTATTGTATCCTGAAGAGTGTGGCTGGGCTAGAACCTGCACATTTTAGTTTCAGTGTCTGTTGTGTAGCTCCTCAGAAGATACAGATTCTAATACACATTTCTCTATTCTGTAAACTGGCTAATTCAAAGCATACTTAATTTAGAAGGTAGTGTGAGGTCATCCTGAAGACCTCTTGCTTCTTTTTGTATTTGGATAATAGCGGATTCCCATTGTGTATATATTAAATCTGGGATTCCTTATGCACAGATGTCATCACTAGGTGTTGCTGTGATCCTGTTTGCTCATATAATAATATGGTAGGGAACAAAATGCAAAGCAGAGTCCCTGGAAAGCAACCGGTTCTGTGTCTATTCTCTGTGACAGGGAGATATTTACCTCTCCAGCACCATGGGCTCTGTTTCTACAAACACACACCAGAGGGAGCCATAGAATGGTGTACTTTGCATAAAATCACTCTTTCTCTACATTGAAGTCAAATTAAGTATGTTTAGAATCTGAAAGCCAGTTAGCAGAATGGTGGTATGAGTTACGTGGATGATCTGATCGGGAACAACCCTATAAGAATCAGAACCAACTCTTCACCTAGCTAAACATTTGGCCCTCTTTTCCGCTATGGTGCTGTGAAATGTTTTACAAAGATTACCTCAATTTTCCTGAGGATAATCAGACCATTGTTTTTGTTAAAAAAAGAAAATAAGTGAGAGCCAAATTTTGGTGTGGATTTTTGTACATTCTCAAGAACAAGACACAACCCTGGCTGCCACTGATTGAAAGGCTTTGGGGGTATTTCTACTTAAAAGATGCATTTGCTGTATTATACCCCATTGCAGTTGGAGCTGATAACCCTCTCTGAATGTAACTGTCAAAGATCAGTGCTTGTAAGTGAATTCACAAAAGGCCAACATAGCATTGAATCCTGCCTAGGGATTTTTCATCCAAATCTGAGCAGGGGATTTAGGGTTCTTGAGTGAGGCCTTATCAGGCCTCTAAATGTATACTTTTTTTAAAAAGTGGCTAACTTTTTTCTCTAAAGATTCAGGGTTTGTGGTAGAGGTATAGAAACCCAAAGCCACTGCTTCTCAACTCATGAAATTTATCATACTTCTCTTTATCAGCAAACATAGCTAAACATGTGGGTTTCAAATTTGATTTTCCTGGCTGGAAAACTTTGATGTAGCCCCTTGTTTTTTCTCCCTTTATAAGCACAGAAAATTGTGACATACTCTGTTTTTGAAAAGAAAACCATGACTGGATTATAAATTG